CGTTAAGCAAAAGGGCTGTCTGCAAACCTCATCCCGCTCCCACCTGGTTTCCCAGACAATGGGGCCGCCCAATCCACCCCCACGCCCAGCCTCCTCTGATGACACGGTCACGTCCCCACGCTGGAGGAACCCGGTGATTCAGCTGGACGGAGGCTCTCTCCAGGCCAGCTGAAATGTCAACCGTCCATCAACCCCATGATGCACCTTAGAGCATCAAATAGACGTGCAGATCTCAAACCACAGCAAAGCAACAGGAAGGAGATGTTAAAACTGAGGCAGGGAGCCGGTTTTCGCCGTGAAGCAAGCTGGGCTTATCTGATAATATCAGAATTATGCTATGGACTCTATAGGTGGATGCCACTGCGATTTCTCCTTCTGTAAGCGATTCTTGCCATTCCCCCACCCCCAATCTCCTCTGTTAGGTATTCGTTCGTAAAGCAGTAGAATCAGAATCACAATGCTAAAGATGGAAAGGATCTATGAAGGGGAGGAAAACATGCATCACCCCTGAGGGGGAAAATGATCACCTGTCACTTCCAAACAGTTGTCACACCTGGTCCCGCGTAGCGACTCCAGTGGTCAGAAATTGACACCAGCAACAGTTAGGTGCATATTAAAGGTATGCGCACATCCTTCTCGTTTAAGTTTTTAGCGGAGGCATCTTCTTTGCCATCACAGCGAAAACCAAGAGAGACTGAACAGGATTGGGACACAGATACATGGAGGAGGGCACTGAGGGGAAGGTCGCACCCCTATCGCTTGCTGCCCCTGAGCACGTTTGGGCGGGGCCGTCAGCTGCGATGCCCCGCCCGAGGGTCTCGGGCAGACTCAGACACCACTACCTTCCCTCCCCCTGCAGTCCTTGGGCAGTCTCTTTGGATGTCAAATCCCAAGAGAGCGAGGGGAGGGGGCGGGGAACACACATCTCCCAGAGAGAAGGTTGCCAAGATGTAAAGCAAAGCTGGAAAAGCAAGTGTCAACAACACAGCCAAGACGTTACCACTTGTTTTCCAGGAGACACACAACAAAATGACATTTTCCAGAGAGACATATATACATAAGCAAAAGCACAGAGCAATCTAACTCCTCAGTGACAGGGAAACGGTCCGGTGAACTACACTAAGATGGAAGGATGCGGTCTATGTACTAAAATGACTGTAGCTAAAAATCGCTTCGAATTTTAAAAATAACACATAAGAGAACGCACAGACGGTTCCAACTGTGTGAAATGTATGCATGCACGTACATAAGCAAAGAGAAGGGAAGTCTAAATAAATGAGTCAGGATTCATGTAGCTATAGAGTTGATTTAAAGCATACTTGAACAACACAAGCATAGGGGACAGTGTTTATATTTCGATATTTATAGGACACAACATAATTCGTTTTCTTAAAGAAAAAAGAGAAGAAAGAGAAAAGAGAAAAATCTAGAAGGATACCCACTAAACTGATGACAATCGTTGACTGGTTTGGGAAGAGTACGAAACAGGGGGGCCTCTTACCCCAGTCAGACTGCTTTAGCAAATTACCATCGACTGGGTGGCTTATAAACAGCAGAAATTTATTTCTGGCAATTCTGAAGGCTGAGAAGTCCAAGATCAAAGTGCCAGCAGATTCAGTGTCTGGAGAGAGCCCACGTCCTGGTTCACAAACAGTGTGTACATGTCCCGATGTGGCAGAATGGGAAGGGGGCTCTGAAGGCTCCTTTATCAGGGCACTAATCCCAATCGTGAGGGCTCCCACCCGCATGACCTGGTCACCTTCAAAAGACCCCACCTCCAAATACCATGGCATTGGAATTTTGGGAGGACACAGTCTATAGCAAGAAAGGAGTGTCACATGTTAAAGTCTGTTTAATTTTTATAATGAGATTTTTGTGCTGTGTTGATGTAATACTAATATGACTAAAAAGAAAGACACAAGGCCATGGCGACACACATCCACCCTCTTCCTCCTCTCCCCTCTACCCACCAGTAGAAAATCACAGCTTTAAACTAAAGGTAAAGTCTTCTCACCCACTGCCATCCTTAACTTTATATAGAAGCAAACTGCAAAGGTCCTAAAAATGTCAGTATCTCCAAACAGCTATTCAAGGTCCATTCCCCTTCTCCCTAGAACCATCCAAGGGGAGTGCTGGGCCCAGGCTGGCCCGAGCCGCATTCGCCATCAGCATCCTCCTGCCAGGCCTCTTCCGGGCCCTGGCGGACTGCACCTTCCTCGCCTACCCCGCCTCTCTCTCGCCCTCTCATTAAGATATCATTTGGCAAAGCCTCTATAAAACCCTGTCAGCTCATTTCCCATTAACAGTTACCGCGTGAGCCTTTTCTACTCTATCCCCAGATAAATACATGAAAATAAATACCCTTTCAGGGAGCGATTTGATGCATCCGAAGTTAACACAGCTACAGTGGGCTCAACCTGACAGGCTGTTATGAGTAAAACCCTTTTCATGAGCAATATGGTGCTCTGGCTCCAAAAGGGGCACAAATACATCGGAAAGGCTGAATGCCAGAAATGGAGTTGGAGAACAGGGCCGGCTGTTAACCATCTCCTTCCCACCCACCCAGAGTCTTGCCACCCTGAACGTGTAAGTATAACCAGGGTGGACATCTCCGACGTGGGCAGGCGGTGGCACCTGTGCTTGGACGGTCACGAGTCAATGTCAAAATCGCTCAAACCACACGTCTGTGCTGAGCGGACTCCTGCACTGGCTCACTTCTGCAGGTAAACTAAGGCAGAGACTGACTCACTTCCTCTCACCCCATCAAACTCCACGCACGGTCCTCCCAGAGGACAGGAAGGAGGCCATGGGGTTTTCTGTAGGCAGGTACCCCTTTCCCCTGGGGCCTGTTCTGCAGGATGAGCCCCTCCACCACCAGTGCAGCCAAAGCCTTTTGCTCTCACGACTTCGTCCTTTTCCTGGGCCACGTGCTGAGTGGTGGGGCTCTGTCATAAGATGGAATGAACAGAAAACTGAAAAGATCTCAGTCTGAATTGACCCACAGAACTCCTGGTTCCTAAACTCCAATCACAGCAAGCATGCTGAAAGCAAATTCTAGCCCCCACTTTCTCCCCGACAGAGGACTGTATGCCCCTTGGCTGCTCAGTCAACCACACGGACTCAAGATCAAAACCCATTAACTTCACCCACCACTCCCCAGCCAGGCCTAATTTTCTGTGTATCCCATCCAAGACTTTCCCCTGGGATCTTCTCTATATTCAAAGCATATAGTAGAACAAACAGGAAGCAAAAGGTTAAAAAAAAAAAAGTACTGCTGCACAGAACAAATTGGCCGAATGACTATTTACACTGCCCAGAGAAAGCTGCTACATTCAGGCAGCTGGTCAAATACACCTGGCCCCCACTCCCTGGCCCCAGTATCAGGGAAGGGTGACCCTTCACGATTGCAAAGAGCCCTCTGCAAGATACTGCCTTAGAAGCTCAGGTGGGCCCAGGTGGGAAGGGCAGAATGAGACCAGCAGGGGCTGTGCACAGCAGCTGAGCCAGCCCCCTGTCTGCTGTTCAGGAGTTAAGGCCCCTGGCTGCCAGATTTTCCGGCCAGGGCAAGTAGAATACACTCCAGCAGCAAGTTTACAGATAACCAGGGCGGACTTGAGAACAGAATATGGCAATCCATACTGAGGACCTCTCAAAGCTATTAGCAAGCAGATGTTCCTTGACAACAAGGAAGCAAAGGGCCCAGGGGGCAGAAACTGACACGGCCGTTCACGCTCTGGATGAACGAGAATGACACACCTCCGAGACAACATCACAGCTGTCCAACCAACCATCACATCCAGCTGTTTGGGCCAGAGGCTGGCCATTCTGGAACATGAGTAATCAGTTTCTCACGAGTGTCTGGGCCACGTTCCAATGGAGAAAAAGGCAGGTGGGCGGGGAAAGGATGTGCGCCTGCCTCCTGGGGTACATGTCCAGCCGACTCCAGTAAGCCTGACCTGACCCTGCCCACAGCGACCCAGCAGAGACACTCAGCTCCTCAACACGGTCCCCCCCGTGCCTCCTCCCACCCTGGGTGAACAGAGGATTCAAGCACCAGCTCAGGTCTCTCAGGGGCCTTCTGCCCACCTCGGGGACTTGCTGGGACACTGCATCTGCTAAGGTGACTTGTGCCCGCACTGGGTCCTACTGATGCCCACCCTTCAGCCAACCCGGTTTTAGCCGATGGCGCTGGGTCCCGATCTCGTGGCCTGGCCTCGGCTCTCTCTGCCCAGTGACCACAGCCAGGCTTCAGGCGGTGGTTCATTTTGTGCTTCTCTGTAAGCAAGTACGTGCCCATCCCCCAAACGCAACGCACCGGCACTATTTAGGCAAAAAAAATAAAAAAGCTAAATCACTGGCACACCCCAATTCTGGTGCCTTTTTCGATTTTTTTAGTTTTCACTCGGCAGCCCCTAAAGGGAGTTATTCTCAAGTCGTAAGAAGGAAAAGTGGGGAGAAGGAACACATAACCGGTTCATGGCAGAAGTGAGCGCAGCCCAAGGCCCTACTGCCCGGTCTCCCCACCTCGCCCTCCTATGAATAAGCCCTTGTGGATATGATGCCTTGTCGAAGGTCTTATGTTGCAGATGGGTGTGTTGTCATCTCCCTGGTGACATCATAAGCTCTCTAAGAGTCAGGACCACCGTCATGGGCACTCCCTTCCCCCAGTGTCTAGGTCCACTCATATAGACAGTGCTGTACCACACGACGTCAGCTGTACTCTATATTTATAATGAGATCTGATATTTAAAATCTGAATGTATCAAAATGTAACTAAGGAGATGATGAGTCAGACTACCAAGAGCTTATTTTCTTTTAGGCATTAAGTCACAATTCCGTTCCTCCAGGTAAAAGCCCTAAATGGCTTGAAATATCTATTTCGATATCACTGGCTACTTAACATAGACACGAGTTGGCATGTCAAGTTTGAACAGAAGTAAATCTGTGGCACAGAGCTAGACACATCCTGACACAAGAGCCCAAAGAGGAGTGGTACTCACCCGGTGAGGCATGAGGAGGTCAGCCAGGTAGACAAACGCAGCTCCGAGGGTGAAGCCGACAGCCACAGGAAAAAAGGCCAAGGCACCAAAGCCACCAGAGGACGTAGCCATCTCCACCGCTGGGGCCAGAAGCGACCAATAGGAAGCAGCCAGCATGACCTGCAAAACCACGATAAACAACAAACCATTAAACCACCCCCTCAAGAGGCCTTCCAAGTGGGGACTTCTCTCGCTCTCTGTGGCCCAAACTGAACGCCACAGTGTCACCTGGGTTAGGCCTTTAATCCTTGGCAGTAGGTACTATCCCAAAGCACAAAGCCACCATGAGAATTCTAATGTTGTTAAGAACTCAATTTGGGGTAGGATGGAGTTGACCTTGGGAAGAGGGAGTCTAGTTTGCTGTTATCTAGCCTCTAATTCAGTGGTTCTCAACCACTGCCGGAGACATCTGGCAATGTCTGGAGGCATTTTTCATGGTCACAAGTAGGGCTGGAGGTGAGGGGGAGGTTACTAGTAGCATCAAGTGAGCAGAGGCCAGAGAAGCTGGTAAATGTCTCACAACGCACATCACAGCCACTGACGGCAAAGAATTTTCTGGTCCCAAAGGTGAGTGGCACTGTTGAGAAATTCTGTGCTAACTGAATACTACCAGGGCCAGACTGCTCACTACTTTGTGAGCTCCACTGCCTTGGATGTGAGACAGCTCTAATTACTACAAAGTTCTTCCTTAAGTAGAGGTGAAACCTGTCTCCCTTTGGTTTTTACCTCTTCGCACCACATCTACTCTCCAGAGCACTAACGGAAGGTGTCTGTCCCCTGTGATGTGTGACAGCCCTTGAAATATCTGAAGACAACCAGTGAGACTATGTCAACTCGGTCTCATCAATTTCCTCATCTCTAAAAAGGAAGAAGGGAACTTATATTTACTGATCACCTACTATTTCCAGGGACCAAAGCTTCACATCTGATATCTTATTTTATCCATCCCAACAGCTTTGGGAGGAAGATGTTGTTTTCTACTGCTATTTGTAGATAAAGGAATTGAATCTCAAAGTAATAAGATCATTTGCTCAAGGTCACAGAGCCAGGAAGTGGCAGATCCAGGGAACTGAGCAAAGTGGGACCGTCATCACCTGAATGAGGGGGAAAAACGAAAGGGAAAAGGGAGAATTGAAGCTGGACTCAAATCTCGGGGAGGTCAATTTGATCCAAGGTTCTCCGACATTTAGTGAATTAAACACTCATCCACAGTTGTTTACTCTTACAGACACCGTGACATCTTGGCTAGAGCACACCCACTACACATTGTAACCGTATGACAGTCAGCACTAACATATAAAATGCTGAATGGGTTTCTAAAATTAACTATTCCTTGCCTTTAAAAAAAATCTGCATCATCCGTCTCCAAAATAACATTCAGGGTGATGGAACCAGGTATTGCGAATGCAACAATAAAGAACAAATCCGTGCAAAAAGAAAATGATTTCTCTTCTTTGATGAATCATCTACACACAGTCAGCGGTTTGGCAGTGGACTCTCCCAGCAAAATTCCTAGCGCCGCCCGAAGAAAATTGCACCTGCCTCAGAGACTCCCAGAAACAATGAAAACGGCTCATCAGTTCAGTTCCATGGGACCAACCAAAGGAAGCTTGTGGGAGCCTTCTCTATGCCAGGGTCTGACCCATCCCTTTACTGGACTTGGTCTCACTTGCTTTAGAATTCAAGAACCCTCCGTAATTGCCATTCACGGTAAGCTCCCACCAAGGATGACCAGCACAGAGGCACAGGCATGTCCAGCAACCTCTATCCCTGCATGTTTCAGGGCCTCCCATTTAGACCATATCACCAGTAAGGCCACTCACCTCATCTTCCAGTCCCTCCCCACATCCCATCCTTGTCAATGTCACTTGGGGTACTTCCCCAGCCTCGGATCCCCATCGCCTTCTCAACACCAAGTCCAACCTCTTCTGTCAAAGCTCCTTTCCATCCCTATGCATCACTGGGCACCAATCTTTTTTCTGTCCCCTGCACGTGAGCAATATACAATATTCTCATGGACAAGATGCAAGGTGAGGCAGAAGGGATGTGCCTCTCAAGGGAGGGTTTGCCAGAATCTGGGATGCTTGAAATGGAAAGCATCCCAGACGATTCAGGTGGGTCCCCTCCTTGAGAATCAATGATCCTTTATCCTTCCAGTCAAATCCAGAACCCAACTGGATTTCTTTCATTTCTTTTCCTCGCCAGCCTCCCTGTCTCCCACATAAACTGGAACATGACCAAGGATCAATCTTGAAATAAGATTGGGTTGCCTGGGCACTTCCCTGGCAGTCCAGTGGCTACGACTCCACGCTTTCACTGCCGAGGGCGCAGGTTTGATCCCTGGTCACGGAACTAAGATCCCGCAAGCCGCATGGCATGGCCAAAAAAGAAAAAGAGAGAGAGAGAGAAAAGAGATTGGGTTGCCTGTCTGAAATGACAATAGGGCCCCCAAAAAAGTTTATTTAAAGGGCATATGTGGGGACTTCCCTGGTGGCACAGTGGTTGAGAATCGCCTGTCAATGCAGGGGACACGAGTTCGAGCCCTGGTGCGGGAAGATCCCACATGCAGCGGAACAACTAAGCCTGTGCGCCACAACTACTGAGACTGCGCTCTAGAGCCCGCATGCCACAACTACTGAAGCCCGCGGGGGCTCTACCTGTAACTAATCTTTTATCAAAAAGCCTTCATAACATACCAGCTTCATATAATTTTACAAAATGAAGCCTAAAAGCTCAAAATTATAATCATTTACATTCAGCCTCAATGATAGCTATTAATTGAGGCAGACTCACTTGAGTGACCTAAGTCTTGCTAGCTACAACCTGCCCTGTGAAAATGATGCGCAGGGACCCGGCCTACCAGTTTGCATGTGCTCTCCAAACTAGCAAAGAGCACTTGAGCTTAAAAAAAAAAAAAAAAAAAGTCTACCTTATGACCTAGTAATTCCTCTCCTAGAGACCTGCCCCAAGAGAAATGAAAACATACGTCCACACAAAGACTTACACAGGAATGTTCACAGTAGCTTTACTCAGAGCCTAAACCTGGAAAGAACCCAAATGGCCATCCACAGCAGAATGGACTAACCCACTGTAGTCCATTTATAAAATGAAATATTATAAGCAATATTTTTAGCAATAAAAAGAGAAGAACTACGGATATCATAACGACATAGAGGAGTCTCAAACTCATTACACTGAGTGGAAGAAGCCTGTATATAAATACACATACTCACATACAGCCCTACACTGTGTGATTCCTTTTAAAGCACAAGTATATGCAAAACCCATTTATGGTGACAGAAATTACAAAGTGGTTGCCTGAGGAGAGGCGGAACTGACTTAGGTAACAGAAGTCCTTTCTGAGGTGACAAAAATGTTTTTGATCCCATTTTGGGTGGTGGGTAAACAGATGTATACAACTGTCAAAACCCTTTGGGCTGACACTTGAAGATCTGGGCATATTATTACATGCAAACTGTATTCATTTTTTTTTAACTCTTAGGAAGGCTGCCCCAGATTCCAATGAGCCATATTTGTACCACAGATAGTATACTGTGCATCCAGGTTCCAGGGTCCACCCTAAAATGGTTCCTCTGGGGATAGGCTTGGGTCATCCCACACAATCACCAAGCACCTGCAAGGCCCAGGCCCGGAGCTGAGAGTCAGGCCATTCTTAAACACTAAGTGCCAGCAGTGTTAGAAAAATCTGTCAATCATACCGCAGAGGATCTCCCAGCATCCATTCTCAGAGACCACAGGTCTCCACTGGTGAGGTCCTAGACTGTAGTTAAGTGCCTTAAAGGTAGGACGACCACCCAAGACATATCTGGCCTTGGAATTTACCAACCAATAACCTAATTCTAACTTCCTCTGCCAAAAGCAGAGAAAAAAAGAGCTGAAAAAGAGTTAGCCATCAATACGTATATATAATGGAATATTACCCAGCCATAAAAAAGAATAAAATAATGCCATTTGCGGCAACATGGATGGAACTAGAGATTATCATACGAAGTGAAGTAAGTCAGAGAGAGAAAGACAAATATCGTATGCTATCACTCAAATGTGGGATCTAATTTTTTTTAATGATACCAATGAACTTATTTACAAAACAGAAACAGACTTACAGATATTGAAAACAAACCTATGGTTACCAAAGGGGAAACATGGGGGGGAGGGATAAATCAGGCACCTGGGATGAACATACACACGCTGCTATATGTAAGACAGATAACCAACAAGGACCTACTGTATAGAACAGGGAACTCAACTCAATATTCTGTGTTAACCTATATGAGAAAAGAATCTGAAAAAGAATGAATATATGTGTATGTATAACTGAATCACTTTGCTGTACACCTGAAACTAACACAACATTGTAAATCAAATTTTAAAAAAAAAAAAAAAAAAAAAAAAAAAAAAAAAAAAAAAAAAAGAGCTAGCCATCAAGCTCACTCCTGCTCCAAATCTAAGTTCCCAAGTGGGAACAAACATTTACTAAGTAACTACAGTGTGTAAGATGCCCACCTAGACTGGAGCGCCTACCAGCAATGACCTTAGTTACACTTAAAATGAGACCACGATGCTCCAAAGTCAAATAATATTTAGACCTTTTGCTTGTGTTCGCCATTCCTCTTGCACAGACCCACCACTGTGAATACCAGAGAGGTGTAAGCATGCATCAGTCCTTTCAAGGCACATTCAGCCAAGCTAGATGTGGGAGGACTCCCAGAAGCTCTCAGCCTGCCAAAATCATTAACTCCGGGTAGACTTAAAAAAAAAAAAAAAAAAAAAAACGGGGGTGGGGGGTTGGGGGGGGCGGTCCTTATCAAACCTCTTCACCAGCTGGTCACCAAGAGAGTGAGAACGTGATGTTGCCCAAAGCAACCTCTCCGTGGCACCCAGCCACCCGCCCATCAGCACCCTCTTGACTTTGGCCTATTGATGGACAACTGCACCAGCCGGTCAAGCCTCCTCACCCCAACACCACCACTCACTCACGCTGATCCAATCTGCTCCAGGTGTGGCTGGGATGCAAGATCCGTGAACACGTGAAAGAGAAGAGAGGAGTGAGCCGTCTGGCTCCACGGAGAGAAAACTCCAAGACCTAAGCTGCTTCGATG